TATGGAAGAATATCTGATAAATTTGGGGTGATAAAAGCAGGTTGAGGGTATTATACACAGACTCTCCCCATTCTTGTTTGTTTTGCTTTTAAAGAATTCCACATGTTTTTTCTTTTGTTTTCTTTTTTTAATTTGGAACATCTAGACCATAGCATTTAATTCATTATAGTTACTTATATATAGCTGTGTTTTATTTATCTTCTTACTCCTTGCTTTCCATTTGTCCTAACCTGTGGTATATTCCTGTTTTAAGTAGCTTTTGAAGCTTTATTTTGGATTAAGCAGTTTTTAAAATTATCCTATGATTTCCTTTTATTCTGGATATTTTATTTTGTCTATTTTTCATCATACTGATTCTCTCACCTGTCTCTAAACTATTGTTAAGCTCATCCATTGAGTTTTGTGGGCTTTAAAAAAAAAAAAAAAGGAAAAATTTTATTAGTCTAATGTGGGGAAGACCTTTCTCTTTCCCCTCAGTTTAACTGAGATATAATTGACATATAACATTGTGTGAGTTTACGGTATACAATGTGTTGATCTGATACATGTATACAATATATTGTGAAATGCTTACCACAATAAGGTTAGTTAACATATCCATCACCTAACTGCTATTTTTTTTTTAGCGAGATCTACTCTCTTGAGCAACTTTCAAGTATAATACAGTATTTTTAACTACAGTCACATGCTCTATATTAGATCCTCGGAACTGATTCATCTTATAACTGGAAATGTGTACCCTTTGACCAACAACTTCTGATTTCCCCCACGTCCAAGAAACCACCATTGTACTGCTTCTATGAGTTTGGCTTTTTGTTTTTTGTTTTTTGGCTGCACCACTCGGCTTGTGGGATCTTAGTTCCCTGACCACCTGACTAGGGACTGAATCTGGCCCCAGCAATGAAAGCACTGAGTCCTAACCTCTGGACCACCAGGAAATTCCCAGTTTTTTTTTTTTTTTTTTTTTAAGATTGCATACGTAAGTGGTATCATGTAGCATTTGTCTTTCTCTGATTTGTTTCACTGCGTAACACCCTCAAGAACCATCCAGGCTGTTTCATACTTCTTTTTTATGGCTGAATAAATATTCCCTTGCATATATATATACCATATTTTCTTTACCCATTCGTCCATCGATGGACACCTAGGCTGTTTCCATGTCTTAGTTATTGTAAACTACGCTGCAGTGAACATGGGGGTGCAGATTTCTCTTCCGGAAAGTGATTTCATTACCTTTGGATAAATACCCAGAAGCTGGGATTGCTAAGCCATATGGTAGTTCTATTTTTAATTTTTTGAGGATCTTCCATACTGTTCTCCACAGCAGCTGCACCAATTTACATTCCCGCCAACAGTGCACAAGGGTTCTTTTCTCCACATCCTCACCCACACTTGTTATCTCTTTTCTTTTTTTTTTTTTTTTTTTTTTTGCGGTGCGCGGGCCTCTCACTGTTGTGGCCTCTCCTGTTGCGGAGCACAGGCTCCGGACATGCGCAGGCTCAGCGGCCATGGCTCACGGGCCCAGCCGCTCCGCGGCACGTGGGATCTTCCCGGACCGGGGCACGAACCTGCGTCCCCTGCATCGGCAGGCGGACTCTCAACCACTGCGCCACCAGGGAAGCCCATCTCCTGTCCGCTTGATGGCAGCCATTTAAACAGGTTTGAGGCGATATCTCTTTGTGGTTTTGACCCGCTGATGATTAGTGATGTCGAGCACCTGTTCATGTACTTGTTGGCCATCTGTATGTCTTCTTTGGGAAAATGTCTGTTCAGGTTCTCTGCCTGTTTTTTAATTGGATTATTAGTCTTTTTGCTTTTGGGTTGTATGAATTCCTTATATATTTTTGAGATTACCCCCTTCTCTGATGTATGGTTGGCAAATATTCCCCTCCCCCCAGTCTGTAGGTTGCCTCTTCATTCTGCTGATTGTTTCTCTTGCTGTGCACAAGCTTTTTAGTTTGATGTAGTCCCACCTGTTTGCTCTTGTTGCTTGTGCTTTTGGTGTCATATTAAAAAAATTGTTGCCATGACAATGTTAATGAGCTTTCCCCTTATGTTTTCTTCTAGGAGTTTAATGGTTTCAGGTCTTATATTTAAGTCTTTAATCCATTTTGAGTTAATTTTTGTGAGTGGTTATGATTGAGTCCAGTTTCTTTTCTTTCTTTTTGGCATGTGGCTATCCAGTTTTCCCAACACCTTTTATTTCAAAGACTCTTTTTCCCATTAAGTATTCTTGGCTCCCCTGTCAAACATTAGCTGACATGTATATATGTTTATTTTCATATACAAGAGTTTGCATGAGTTTGTGTCTTTGTATATTTAAGATCAACTAATACTTGAGCTCTAACTATGCTCCAGACACTATTCTATATGTCCTTTACATATATATTCTGTTGTTCAATCCTTATAATGAAACATGTACATAGTCATATCTCTATTTTATTTAGGTACAGAAGTTAAGTGGTGGAGGAAGAATGTAAAAAGGCAATCACATTTCACACTACCAGCAGAATTCCTAGGGTGAGAAAGATTTCCTTCATACATTTGTGTATAGTTTAAAGGTTTTCAGAAAGCATGTAATACCTCTTTAATTAAAAAAAAAGGCATGTGGCTGAGGCACCAAGTATGAGAAAGGTTGTGTAATATGAGTCAATGGTGCAATGAAATAATAAAAGGGAATAGGAGACACAGCTCTGCTACTTCCTGGGTAAGTTACCTTGAGCAATCTACTTAACATCTGAGTCTTAAGTTTCTTATCAGTGTACTGTTGATAATCAAGCCTACTTGCAAAGTTATATGGGTTAAGTAACACAGGACCATGCCAAGCCCACACTTCCGGCACACAGTTGGCCTGCCTCAGTAAACACTGCATAACACAGAAACCATTCTAACTAATGCAGGTAGACCACAATTGTCCTAAAGAGCACTCAAATGCAAAGACACAGAAGGGCCAAAGCAGAGAACGAAATGGGAAACGGACAGCAAGAAGGGTTCAAAGAACTGGAGCAACTTGCCCTAGAAGTGATGTCTTAGTGGAGGAGTAATAGCTGACTTTAAATAATTAATGGGCTATACATTTAAAAGAAAAATTTGACTTTTTCTGTTTGACTCTGATGGACAGAACCAAAACCAATATATAAAGTTATAGGAGAGAGGAATCAGATTCAGGTACAGAAAGATAAACCTTTCAAGAGTTACAGCTATTGAAAATGGAACCCAGTTGTATAGCACTGGGCCTGCCACCCTTCCCAGGTCATAACAAGCTTCACGTCCTCTGCTCGTCCCACAGGGGAAAGTTCACAGAATGTGTCAGGTGTGCCGCAAAGGAGATTTGTGCCTACTGAGGAAGGATGGTCTAGATATAGTCTTAAAATCTTCTGTTACTTTAAGATTGATAGGATCTATGACATTCAAAGGAGCTATTCAGTTAAAAAAGTTCAGTAAGTACTAATATAACAAGCGAAATTGTCTAGCTATTCTCATTTTTATAGATGAAGAAATAGTTCCCAAAGAAAGAAAATTTACCTGTACAGGTCAACTGATACAGATCGAACACCAGACCAGAATAATAAGTCTCCAGCCGCCAAGGCAATACATTTCACATTTTGCCAACTATGAGTTCACTCAGTTGGGCACAGGGGACACATACAGATGATGAAGTACAATCAAAAAATTTTATTTGCTCATTATAACTTTTGATTATCAGTAAAGCATAATATTTTAAAATTAATAATAAGTATTCCATATCAGCACATTCTTATATCTGGGTTGAATGACGTATTTAGCTTGAGCAAGAGTCTGGATCTGGTTCTAAGCTGATTAATATATTTTTGTTTAAATAAATTAGAAAAGTCATAACTCGTGCTACATGGACAGCTGGGAATAGCTGCAATGTCTTGTTCTAACAGGCAGGACAGATATTTGCATTAAGGATGAACCCAGGTATCGTGGAGAAGCTTCTCATTCAAAGTTTCTCTCGGCATCTGCTAGAACCTAAGTCATCCTTAAAAGCTGGAAGATGGAATGTTTCAACCTGGGAGAAGTGGCGACTGGATTCTTCACTCATTTTTTGAGTGCACTTGCCACAGATTTTTATATATGCCCAAGATTTCCTTGCTTTTTTGATGAAAATCAACATATGCTCGGAAACAGTCAAATTCCTAGCGATCAAGTCGTCAGCGCCATAATCCACATTTTAAAAATTTCAGTATCTTACTTCTGTCATTGATCAGGAAGAGAAAGATTAAATTAGAAAAGAAAACCTACTTATATGATGTGCCACCTCATCCAAATGACGTTATAAAAATGGTTTTGACTCACAACAGGATCATGAACAAATACTTTATTTCATACCTTATCTCATAAAAGATCTCCTTGACAGCTAGCAAAATTCAACATAGAAAAGCTGAGATACTGCTGAATATTCCTTCATAGAGCTCAGTGGGGAATATACATTCAATGAGAGCTTTCCTTACCCCTTGGTGGAAAAGTGGAGTGAGGACAAGCATCAGAAGAGTGCCATTTCTCCGGCTGCTTACTCAGTTGGTGCTCTGCCATTAGGAATGTCAGGGAACCTTCTGACTGACATCAGAGCTCACAAAATAAGCATCTAAAAAATGGACGGTGAGGACACGGGGAATGGGAAGGGTAAGCTGGGGCGAAGTAAGAGAGTGGCATGGACATATATACACTACCAAATGTAAAATAGATAGCTAGTGGGAAGCAGCTGCATAGCACAGGGAGATCAGCTCGGTGCTTTGTGACCACCTGGAGGGGTGGGACAGGGAGGGTGGGAGGGAGACACAAGAGGGAGGAGATATGGGGATATATGTATATGTATAGCTGATTCACTTTGTTATACAGCAGAAACTAACACACCATTGTAAAGCAATTATACTCCAATAAAGATGTTAAAAATAAATAAGTAAAATGCAAAAAACAAAAAACTCTCCGTCTGAAGCAAAGGTTTTCAATGAAAAGTCATTGGACTCTTCTCCCTGATATGTGTTATCAGACGTGTTATTATGACTCATACCCTGCACATTAGTGATTTCAACAAACTATAAAGTAAAATGTTCATTCCCACACACGTGACTGCTCTCCCACACTGCATACCACTGATATTATGTGACAGGCAACAGCAGCATTTGATAAAGATATTTCGCCAAAAGCTTGTTCCTCTTTCCCTTTGAGTATGTTTGCCATCAGCTTTGAGGCTGATTTTACGAACTTCTTAGCAAATCTGCCTTTGCTGTGACGGATGGAATTCTGAACCATGCCTCTGAGGTTCTGTTCTATTCTGGGCCCTCAGCAACAACATTCATCAATTTCACCCTGGAAAACATTATTTTGTACTTGATCTGGGAAGACACAACTGGTTCACTAGAAAGGCCACTTGTACTTTGCCTGAAAATGACTCAGAAGTGTTGAGAGTTTCATGCCACTCATGACAAAGTTTCATAACAGAGGAAGCACGGGAGACTCGGGACAAATAAATCACCTGCCAAGGAAAATCCAATTCACAGACAGTCATGATGGTACTTTCTGTTTACAATTTTTCTTTTTCTGTCACTTGAGTGAAACTATCAACCTGGCAGGTTCTCTGGTTTCTGGACATCAAGATTCACATTCTAGAGGCGGAGTCAAGATGGCTGACTAGGAGGACGCAGAATTCGCGTCTCCCCACAACTAGGGCACCTACCAGGCACTGCTGGGGGACCACAGACACCGAAGGGGACGGGAAGAACCCCCAGCAACTGGGTATGACATGAGGGGGATTGAGGGGGGAGGAGAAGTGGAGGCGGGGGGTGGCCTGGAGCCCCTGAGGGGCGGCTGGGGGAGGGGAAGGGATCCCATACCAGAAGGGGGAAACTGTGGGACCATCGGGAGGGCAGAGGATCAAAAGGGAGTGTGGCCAGGTTTCCCCTGCCCACTTGGGCCCCTGGGAACCTGCTGAGATCCTGGGAATGATCCTCTGCCCACCAAGGACCCTTCCAGCCACGTGGGTGCTGAGTGGGAGGGAGGGAACGGGAGCAAAAGTAAAGGCCAGACCAACAGGACCAGCACCCCTGAGGGGCCGCTGGGGGAGGGGAGGAGTTCCTGCACCCAGCGAGACCCACCCACGGTTAGAGGTCCAGCAGGATGGGGGAGGCTCTGGGGGAGATGGCGGGGGAGGGGCACGGAGGAACGGAAGGGAACGGGGCCAGAGCTTTCCCTGTCCACTTAGGCACCAGGGAGGCTGTTGGGCTCCCAGGCCTAATGCTCTGCCCTCGGAGCCTCCCTCCTGCTGCGCAGAGCCCAAGCCCTGCCCCTCCTCCCCCACCCAGGTCCCCACCTCTACACTCGGAGACCCCCTCCAATGAGCGGGGCCTAAACCCCACCCACACACCCTCACTCAGGGCCCTACCTCCAAACTCCAGAACTCCACGCGCCAGAGGCCCTCCTTTCCGCATGCTGCCTCTCCCCTTCCCTGCAGGTCCCAAGCAGAGGCCACAGCCCCATGCCTGAACGTTGCCCCCCACCCAGCTAGGTCCTGCCCCACCCTAAACCCAGCCCCTGCCGAAGTTCCACCTCTGCCTAAACTCTGCCCCCATAGCCAAGGCTTTTTTTTCCCCCACTTATAGATTGGGGTTCTGTTTTACCTTGTTGATTCACTGTTGTTGATTCTTTTATATTTTTATTTTTCCTAATCTTTTATTTTTCTAATTTTATTTTATTCTTTATAGTTTGTTATTGTTCTCTCCTTTTGGCTTGTTCCCTACTGCTTTTTTTTTTCTTTCTTTTTTCTGTTGTGGTTTTATTTTACCTTGTTGCAGTTGTTTCAATTATAGTTTTATTTTTCCTAATATATTTTTTATATTTCTAATTTTATTTTGTTTTGTATTATTGATATTGTACTGCATTTTTATTCTTTTTTTTTTTTTTTTTTTTTTTTTTTAACCACATCACCCAGCTTGTGGGATTGTGGTTCCCAGGCCAGAAGTCGGGCCCAAGTTCCTGTGGTGTAAGCTCCGAGGCCAAACTGCTGGACTAACAGAGAACCTCAGACCCCAGGGAGTATTAATTGGAGTGAGGCCTCCCAGAGGTCCTCATCTCAGCACAAAGACCCGTCTCTATCCAACTGCCTGCAAACTCCGTGATGGACGTCTGAGGTCAAACAAACAGTAAGACAGGAATACAGCACCACCCATCAAAAAAAAAAAAAAAAAAAAAAA